AGATGTACTTTGTTGCTGTATAAAAGCTTTAAAGCAAATCATCACATTCATTCAAAATAATTGTCCCTGAAGAAAGAAGAAACACAGTTTTACAACAGAAATGTGTGTTTACTTTCCCCCCTTTCTCCTTGTTATATCCAGGAAACACCCAATAATTCTAATGTCTGGTAACATTCAGGTATCAAGATTCAGCATCTCTTCATCTCAAACGCTGCTTTTTATCCATATTGAGCCTGCCATCACGAGCAGTGAAGAGTTAAAAAACCTCCAGCGATGACTCACAGGCTTAAACCACCACGGAGTTGCTGTCGCAGTTCAGCAACCCTCTCTTTCTCATTGGTAGAGACGGTAAACAAGTCTGTGTCTGCTGCACTCGGGCCGATGATAGACTGATGTGAAGAAATACAAGGTCTCGACCTGATAAAGTGGAGGGGAGCGCAGCTTGACATCAGGTAGAAAGTGACACAAGAAAGACATTTTCCACTACAAATCCTATCAAGTACATACATCCCTCCGCCAGCCTCAATAAGATCCCCCACTGACTGTAAGTGCTCATGCATTTAAGCTCTCTTCCTCTTTCAGTGTCTAATTGCATCCACTACTTCCATGTTATGATCCTTCTATCACACCACACCCACTTTTATGCTTCATTTAACACAAGTGAAATTCTATTTACAAAGAAGTCACCTACAGGTTTATTAGTTTATACTTTACTTACTTAATAGTTTATACTTTTATGAACTATTATTAAATAAAATAATGATTTCAATCTTTATTGCAAAATAGGATGAGTGACTTGGCAGAGGTCACTGCATAATTCCATGACATCACAATGCTCCATTCAGAAAATAGCTCGCACCTTGAGGGACAGTATAGTAACCCACACCGATGCAAAACAGCGCTGTGCTATCCATCAGTTAAAGGTTACATCCACAGCTTTCATAATAGAACACACTTGTTTCCTGCTATCAGTGGGAGCTACATCACTATGGAAACAGTTGAATTGCATACAAATAATGCCTCATTGAACTGGCATACATCAGGTCTGAGACTATGCAACTGTGCATAGAGGGTGTGGTCTGTAGCAACATGGAGAATATGTGTGGTACTTTTTTGAATCTCAGAAAAATACAGCATTCATCTTTACTCCACATAGCCCATGTTCTTCTTCTTAAGGCTTAATTTTTATGAACAGGTTTTAAAATCCTACTTTTTCAATTACTGGATGATCACTGCCATCCATGAGTCACACCTACTGCATGGTTGCTACTATATAAGTAAAATTATTTATTGATCATTAAAGGTGCACTATGCAGCTTTTCTGGTGGAGGGTCCACTCCCAACTTTGTCTCCATGGAGATGCTGGAATGTTTCCTGGTATGACATTATACATATCCATCTAGCATTTATTCATTACAAGTCTTTCAGTTACTCCAAAATACAATAATTCCTTCTGTGAATCGGGGCGACTCTCCACAGATCTGAACTGTAATATCTTTATAGTCTCCTTTGTGATTTAATCTGTACTGTTGTAGAACAGTTTATACAAAGCAGTAACATCTCCTTGGAGACAAGCAGTTGGCGAAACCTCCAATTCTGTAGAAATGTTAAGATGTGCACCTTTAATTACAATAATCTGTCAAATTTGGATGTTAAAACAAGCAATACCATATTTATCATATACAAGAGGAAATAAATGATATTAATGCTCAGTGCTGTAGGATTAAGATGTTTGGAGTCTATTCTAAACAAGCCCCGAAACTGCTCAAATCCCTGTTGGGATGTGCTCTCAAACTTTCTGAATTCTCTCAAGGGTACACTCTCACTTCAAGCCACATACTCCTTGGCCCTGTTGTTTTTTGCAGCAAAGAGCAAATGATAGTAATTACTTTAAGGATCTTCAGTGCCGGTTTCATTGTCTGTACTTCCTGGGTCACATTACTCAATTAAAGCCTGTCACTAACAATGTAAGTGGACTAATTGGCAAGAAGCACAACAGCTTTTCCAACTGCCACTGTGCCTTTGTGAGCCAGTGTGAAATACTAATCAACAACAACAAACTAGATTGAGTCTAAAGAAATGGGACCATCTAAGTCTGATCTTGTTAAAAAGAAATCTCATTTACATTTAATAGAAAAAGTGTCACAGTGAATAGCATGCTGTCTTCTCCCATTGAACATTTAAGTATATTTTTGAAAGATTTTTGATCTAGTGAAATGTTACTTTTTCTCGTGTACACTCCATTTGACCGATCTCTCAACCATTGTTGTCGGGAAAACCTATTGGAAGGGCCGTGGTCATGAAACTTAGCTAAAGCTTTTTTTATATTTTCATTTGAATGCTGGATTTAAATATACTGTTCAAACTACATTTTACCCTTTCATTGTTTTGAGAAGTGTAGAAGCAATACTTGTGCCTGAATACCTCAAAAAACTAAAAACTATGTAAGGTGATGGCTGAACCACCAAGTATTGTGCAAGTACAAATTTTGTTTCTTAGTTTTCTTAGCTCCACTCAGATGTTACACCATCACAGTTTGCCTTTACGTGGACTTTAGAGAACATTTCTTTCTCTTACTGCTAATGATGAAACCTGTCTTTTGTCACACGCTACTTTCTAATATTGCCACAAACCCAATTATGCCTTTAACTGACGCGAGCACGCCAGCATCAATGGCTACACTGAACATTCCAATCATTTACTCCAATCATGGCAACTATAATTACAAAACCATCACCCCTCACCTCTCACATGGTTAAGTGGCTTCACCTCTGTCTTCTATTCCATTGTAAATGCTAATAAACCCTGGATGCTTGTGTTGCTTTGCGCTCCTAAGATTTCATTTGCACATTTAATATCTTAAATCAACACCACCTCATTCCTAAAACTCATTATCACAGAGACAAGGGCGCTAAGCAAATCTGTCACGTCAAATTTGTAACTTCCCTCTGACTCTCCTCTGGTTATGTAACTTCATCAGTGATTAAAAGTAACTCGTAAAGCCAACTTTTATGAGCTTTAACCATGTTATTACGATGTTCCCTCATTGCTAACTTAACACTCAAAGATGTATTCATTGTATTCATACGTGTTTGAATTATCTTGCATCAGAGGTGGAACCAAGTTTTTGTTTTGAAAGTCTCAAGTAAATCTCAAGTTTTTGACCTCAAGTCCGAGTCAAGTCCCAAGTCAAATACAGGCAAGTCCAAGTCGAGTCTCGAGTCACTAGCCAATAAGTTCAAGTAAAGTCCAAGTCGTCTGCTTTGAGCTTCAAGTCATTTCAAGTCTTTAAACCAAAGTACCAAATAAAGCTTTGACTTTTGCAATTTATATGACTTTTGAGACAAATTGTGTTTAAAATGTCAGTATATTAAACAATTCAGATTTAATATACTTGGCCTCAAGTCTGAGTCAAGTCCCAACTCACTCACCTTCAAGTCCAAGTCGAGTCCCAAGTCTTAGTCCATTTTATCAAGTGAAGTCTCACGTCCTAAAAATAGTGACTCAAGTCTGGCTCGAGTCTAAGTCATGACTTGCAAGTCCCCACATCTGTCTTGCATTGCCTTACATTTGAGATTTTAGTGCTCAAAAAAATAAAATAAATAAAACAGTTTTCACCTGCACCCTATCTCCACCTACAGCTCTGTATTTACTTACAGTTGGTCCAGAAAATCTTACTCTGGCTCATTTCCACCTTCACTTGAATCATTTGAATAATTTCAGCCCTGGAATTACCTCTACTAAACAAAAGTTTATCTATTAACTTGAAAACTACCACTACATGACATCATAAGGTGGAACAGAGTATTTTGAGCTATGGAAATGCAGACAGATTAATAATAAAGGATTACTCAAACATGCATGAATGAAACGAAACACAACTCTGAGCGCTAACAGCAATTTAACATGGTTCAAAGCTCACAAGAGTCAATTTAGCACAATATACGCCCTGTAATGATATAACAGTTTCTTCTTTCAAGACTAGCCTGGACAAGTGGACCCCAGCTGCTGTTTACTAACATGTCTATCAGAGCTCCAGGCATCCAATTTAATGGGCACATCATCACAGTTCATCAAAAGTACACTTTGTTCCCACTGTGCCAATCCAAGGACTCCGGTGTTCGTGACTTCACTTTCAACCTTGGATGAATTGAAAAGCTATCACTCTTACTTGTGTCACCGCTGGCTATGATGACACACATACTGATTCCTCGTCCCTAGGTTCCACTCGGCGCACTGAGGCGATGATGGGAAATGACACGTTCGGTTGTCAAGGCCCACCTTTTCCTAGCGTCTCCATGGTGACGCCGCCTAACAACCCCTCATGCCTTCTCGCACAGGTTGCTACGATTCTGTGCGTCTTCATCAATGACATTTACCCTCTAGTCTCATTTGTACCAATTAGTAAGAGAACACCCAATGTCTGTGTGTGGATTTTCTGGATGGCTGGAGCTGCAGTGAGGTTTGGGAGCCAGGTTATGGATGGAAAGTATG